GTGCTGCTTTCATTTTAGAGATATTAGTAAAGGTTTTCAAAGGTCCCCCCCCCCCCCCCCCCACCCACTGGGATAGGGATTTAGTGCAAAGGACTTCATAAACATGTTTTGTGTCGACCAGAGAACTGTTTTATGTATTATATATGAAAATGTCCCGACAGGTCTCCTTTAAGTGATGTTGAGCCTTTAATTTTCTCTCAAGCAAAGGAAACCAAACCACTCATAATCATTTCTGTGGTGTGCCCATGAGCTCACAGCACTGTGCAGAAGTCTTGAGTCGTCTCTCGTTTCTTATGGTTTTATATTAAAACTAATCAAGAAAATGACATAAGAAAAGGTATAAAATAAACACATTCATGTGTTTGGGTGTTTCAGCTCCTAGTGGAGTCTTCAGTGGGCTGCAGAATTGGCTTGTTGTTCATCTGTTTGGTTCTGGCCCACCTTTCCTCTGCTGAAGGTGATCTCTCTTAAATTCCTCAAAGGAATTTCTTCACATTTGGCTCCGACGTCTACTTGGACTTAAAAGCTACAGATTAGATTTCTGAGGTCAAAGGTCAAGGTCGGTGTGAGCGCACACTCGTTGTTTTTCAGGAATGTTTGTAGGGATTATAACTGACTTTTATTTTTTTCCACAAATATGCACACAAATTAAAACGATTAAGGAATTGGAAAGTTAGGGTTACGAAATAAGTAAATTAAAGGATTAGGATTTAAATTGATAGGATTAATATTATTTATTATTTTAGGGTGTTTTGAAATTAAAGTTTTATTGAGAAAATGTATGTTCCTGTTTATTTAATGTAGTTTACATTTGTTTGCATTTTTACTTTCACTTATCTAACGAAAAAGGACTTCATAGACAGAGGAAATACATACGTAAGTAGTTAAACCAAATCAGGACAATAATGTTTTAAAGGGTTAAAGTTAAAATAGCAGGTCAGGGATTCAGAATAAACAGTTTAAAGAGACGATCAGTAGTTTTTGCCTTTAATCTCTGGAAACATCCATCAAAATATTGTTGGAAATAAACAAAATGTCCAGTTGGTGAAAAATATTGGCAGCTTTGTACCATATAACCATAAATATTGAGTCTTAAGTACGTAGGGTGTGGGTCTAGCATCTTGGGGTCCTGCTCCTGTCCATGACGCCACGCTAGGTGACTGGCTGGACGTACGACCAAAGCCGGGCGGACACGGTGCAACTTGTTCACTTGTAGCGTTCAGCTCAAAATGTACGACTTCCTTGTTGAGCAAATCTCACGAGTCGTGTGTTCACACTGTACGACCCAGTTCTGGGATGCAACCGGACTGCTCGCGCTGTACGTCTGGTAGCAACATGTCAGACATACAAATCTGCTTTTAACAAAACACCCAGAGTTATTTTGGGTTGTTACTGATGTCGGTTGTCCTTCGGGAGCGCCGTAGGAGGAAGACACCCAGGGATTTATGGGGGTTGGAGGAGGAAGATGACAGGAAGAAATGTTTTATCCGTTTCATCTGAAATAAATATGACGAACACACTTTTGACAATCCTCGTCATTGTGTTAGAAAAAAAGTGTATAAATAAAAACGACCGCCGTGTGTTAATAGGGAAACAGCTGGAGAGACATGTTGATTCATGTTTCCGCATGCGCCGTGGTTAGTTCTGGTACTTTTTTGGGTCACAGCGGCGCTTCAACAGTGTGATGCCTTCACACTGGCACACGAGGAACGAGGAAAATATCAAACGCGCCAGAAATTCATGCAAGCTTACGATTGCTGATCGGCAGGTGGCCACGTGGTGTTAATCGCCTCCCGTTACCCCCGGTGTACTACACGACGCTCAGCACGGAACTCGCCCCGATCTTGTAGATTCTCGCACAAGGGGAAAATCGGCTTGATAAAATTGTAGTCTACACCCGGCTTTACGAAGTTACTTTTCCACGTTCAAAAACATTCAGGCAGAAAGAAAGAGGGATTCAATAACAAAACTGCTAAAATCTTTCCAAAACATATGTTAAAGAACAGACTTGAAAAAGAAATGCAGTATCATGACATCAATGGCGGGCGCAAGTCCCCGAGCAGATCCGTGAAGTATAGCACTTGAAAACTACAGCATTGCATTTTTTAAGGAATTACCCGAAGGACCATCAAAGTCTGAGGAGTCGTGCCATGGTTGCATGCTTTCTGCTCCACAGGTAACCTTTTCTGTAATATGCTGGTGAAGGTCCTCAGTCACCCAGGCCATGGTAATCCAGAAGGGTTCAAATGAAGACAAAACTTCTGGACAGAGTAAATACAGGTCTTTCTAAAAAAATGTGATAAAGTTCATTATGGTCTGTAATGTGCTGATAAACATTAGACTTTCATATATATTAGATTCATTACACACAACTGAAGTAGTTCAAGCCTTTTATTTTTTCTAATATTGATGATTTTGTATACAGCTCATGAAAACCCAAAATTCCTATCTCAATAAATTAGCATATTTCATCCGACCAATAAAAGAAAGGTGTTTTTAATACAAAAAAAGTCTACCTTCAAATAATTATGTTCAGTTATTCACTCAATACTTGGTCGGAAATCCTTTAGCAGAAATGACTGCTTCACTGCAGCGTGGCATGGAGGCGATCAGCCTGTGGCACTGCTGAGGTGTTATGGAGGCCCAGGATGTTTCGATAGCGGCCTTAAGCTCATCCAGAGTGTTGGGTCTTGCGTCTCTCAACTTTCTCTTCACAATATCCCACAGATTCTCTACGGGGTTCAGGTCAGGAGAGTTGGCAGGCCAATTGAGCACAGTAATACCATGGTCAGTAAACCATTTACCAGTGGTGTTGGCACTGTGAGCAGGTACCAGGTCGTGCTGAAAAATGAAATCTTCATCTCCATAAAGCTTTTCAGCAGATGGAAGCATGAAGTACTCCAAAATCTCCTGATAGCTAGCTGCATTGACCCTGCCCATGATCAAACACAGTGGACCAACACCAGCAGCTGACATGGCGCCCCAGACCATCACTGACTGTGGGTACTTGCCACTGGACTTCAGGCATTTTGGCATTTCCCTCTGCCCATGGACTCCTGGAAACAGTGGAACCTGATATGCCCGTCTCGGCTGTCTGTAGAGGATTCTGAAGACGTCTGGATATTCGTGGTTTTGGTGTCGGCATTCCTGCTGTTTGGCCTGAGCGGTTACCTGGCTTACCGGAAAATTTATGAGCTGTTGAGGAATATTGGCTTAATCCCGGAGCTCAGGGATGTAATGCATCGTGCTGTAAATGCGCAAACTCATGTAATTGTCGAGATGAGTCGTAAGCTTGGAACTTTGGCTGAGATTCAGGCTCTGGCACAGAAGGTGGATTCCATCAAGGAGCGAGTTGACGGATCAGCATGGATTGGGATAGATTAATTACACCATTATTGGATCTAGAGGGGTTGAAGACCAACAGAACACTAAGGCAGAGAGGAAATTATCTCTGTCTGTCCCCAAAACAATTTTTATCTGAATCTGGTGCCCTTGGAGCCTGTGAGGCTGAAGTGATAACTCCCCCCTCAGAAGAACCTGAGCTTTAAAGATCATGTTGCCTCTGTTGCTCGTTCATGCCGCTTTGCGCTGTATAACATAAGAAAGATCAGACCTTACCTAACACAACATGCCACCCAGCTCCTGGTGCAATCTACTGTCATCTCCTGCCTCGATTACTGCAATGCCCTTCTAACTGGTCTTCCAGCCTGTACTGTGAGACCTCTTCTAATGGTCCAGAACGCAGTGGCGCGTCTGGTCTTCAATCAGAGCACACGTCACCCCTCTGTTCATTGAGCTCCACTGGCTGCCGCTAGCAGCATGCATCAAATTCAAATTGCTAACACTAGCATACAAAGTCCGAGATGGTATGGCTCCCATCTACCTGAATCCTCTTGCAAAGGCTTACGTCTCGGCTCGGCCGCTCCGGTCATCACAGGATCGTCGGCTAACAGTGCCTACACCATGCTCAGGACAATCCAGGCTCTTCTCGTGTATCGTTCCACAAATGTGGAATGACCTACCAAGCACTACCAGAACTGTGGCTTCCTTTTCAATTTTCAAGAAACTCCTGAAGACCCTGCTCTTCAGAGAGCATCTTCTTAACTAGCACCTTGCCTGCACCTGTCCCCCCTCTCTACTGTCCACTCCTTGTTCCCTCCTCTCCATGATTGATGTCAAGTTGTTCCATCTTTTAGTTCTTTTTAAAACGCAGAAAGGTTTTATTTACCTGCAACGTTTCGTTTGCGGCTGCAAACTTCGTCAGGCTGAGGCTGATGGTGGCGTCACTTCCTTCTCCATTGTTGTTGTTGTTGTTGTTAGCCTCAAGGGCAATATGCCGATTATCACTTGTAAGTCGCCTTGGACAAAAGCGTCTGCTAAATACATAAACATAAGAAGTGTGTGCTGTTGCCATCACCATGGTAACTCTTCTCCCTATCCCAGCCTGGGCGGGACTGTGACCGGTGAAGGCCGTGGAACCGTATCTAGGAGTCACTGTGCTCTCTAACCCATTATCTTCTTACTCTGTCCAAACGGAGGTGATGAGCGCTGCCCCATGCAGCTGCACGCACTGATGTGAGGAGAGTCTCAACCCTACCGACCCCACCTAGTGGACACTTTTGTTGTGTGATGTCTGAAGTCTGTTGCATATCTGTTTGAGGTGTTTTTTGCATAGCAAAGCTGCCCTCTCTGTGGAGGGTAACTCCGAATTGCCTTTTTTCCCTCCCCCTGACTTTATCCTTATATAAACCCTCTTGATCTATTAAGGTAGCGAGACTCGGGTTGCGAATGACCACAGTCACCAATTCTTTTCATGTGTCTATTCCTATGTATGTCTGATCTCAGAATTGTGTGTACTGAAACTCTGATTTCCCTCTGGGATTAATAAAGTATCTTTGAATTGAATTATATTGAATTAACCTTCACCAGCAGGGTTATAGTTGAGTACAAGTTTGAACACTCTTGTAGAAAATAACAGCACTTTGTTGTTGTTGTTGCAGAGTTTGCTCCGCTGTGAAGGCGCCAACAATCAGAGCTACTTCTGTGAGTCCGGCCACTGCTGCGGAGAGTCTCAGTGCTGCAGTTTTTACTATGAGCTCTGGTGTAAGTGTCCAGCTTTTAGTCCCATTCACTCCACCTCCCACTCCTGATCTACAGCCAGGTTTTAGTTCATTTACAAACTTGTTTAAAAAGTCAACCCTATAAGAATAACTTCTAATTTTCTGTTGAGCCCTTTAGGAATAAATACAGCTAAAGTGTGCATTGTTTTATAACCATGTATTAAATGACTTCGTCTGTACAAAGGATCACTTTATGTAGGTGGGATGTGAGAAAATATCAAAATGGCAATAAATTGTGATATTTTTTCCTGCAATATTATATCGATACTCAAAAGCCGTGTAACTAATTATTGGAAGAATTTACCTGCAGACATTTGTGCATTTTCTTTTCTTTTGGTGCAATTCAAACACCGACCACTAGTTAGCAGCAGTGTGCATTGGGTTTTGTTCCACCACTAAAATGTAAATCCCTATGGTCCAGATATCTCATGTTAAACATGTTAACTGACAGTTTGGACTGTTGACTGAATTTTCCTACAAACATTTCAGTCTAAAAAAATCACTAATCTTGTCTGGCTAAGTGTATCACAACATATAGTGGTGTATCGTATCGTCTCCCTGTATCGTTATGCGTATCGTATCTATTATCTTTTGTAAAACAATAGTTTGAAGTATTGAACGTTGGACTTCAGTAAGGCGTCGTTTTACCAACGCTGATAAGTTCTATGCCTCACACAACTTTAGTTCTTTGAGTGTCGTTGATGAAACTTTTGTACTGAACTTGAGGGTCCAGTCACTCAAACATTTCATCAGACGTGTGTGCAGCTTAAAGAGCAAGTCACCCCAAATCACATTTTTTTGCTGATAAACTATATAAAGGAGTGTCTAATCATGCTACAGACACGTGTATTCAATAATTTGGCAGTTCAGTGCATCTTGGTTAAAATTCAAATATTCTGCCTAAAACTGTCAGTGTTGCGCCGTCGTCAGGGAAAAATTGTGCAATGTATTTGAATTTAAATCTGCCACCGCTATTGGCTAAGAGGTATGCTATGATGTCATCTGGTACATTATGATGTCATAATGCCATTGTGAGCCTGTGTGTGTTTGTTAGCGGCTCCGCCCTCTCGGTCTGCCAAGCAACAGCATTTGTTGCATTTTTCAAACATGAAGTGGGAGTGGAGTAAGTTTCTTGTAGGGGTTGACTTGCTCTTTAAACAGTTTAAACCCAAAGATTTATGTCATAATTTACGCCGAACTGGTTTAAACTGGTTTACTCACCAGCAGAGCAGCAGCAAAACTAAAAATTCTCCATGATTAGACGTCTGACTGGCGGCTGTTCTTGTAGGTTTGGTTTTTCTGCTGCAGGACCAGATCTGGATTTTCTGTTGTCCTTAGGTAAAATTCCTCTCATGTTTCCATGGCAACATGGAAGCGGTTCCTGTAGTTCCTGCATAGAACAGCTGCTGCTGGTTTAAGTTTATTTTGTGTTATTAAAAAATAACCGTGGAAACAAAAATCTATTTAAAATCTGTGAATGACAGGTTTTACACATAATTTATTCCCAAACTTCTCTGGAGCTATGTTACCATGGTGATTTAGCCGGGCTTAAATATGGCTGCCTTCATGTTACAGAAACATCACACTTTTCACTTTGCTGACAAAAACTCAGCTGATCAAACACCATCAGTGACTTGTTCATTAGTTTTTGTCCGGGTCGGGGTCCGGTCCAGATCTGGGTGTAGGTCTGGATCCAGGTGTGAGTAGTGGGGGCAGCAGCCCCAGCACAGAGTCCCAAGCTGTCCTCTCCCCAGGAGCCCCCACCTTCTCCCATCTAAAGTGTTTCTGGTCTTTGTGGAAACACAATCCCTCCTGGGTTGACCTGGGGACCTCCTACCAGCAGGACATGTCCCAAACATCGACATATAAATATTGGACAATGGGTTTCCATAGACCCCAATAACACGTTTTTGAGGCTAAATGGGACCGTGACATTTTGACCGTGTCACAGGTTCCCTCAAGCCCAGACAGTTCCACAAAAGGGAAGAGAGGTGGAGCTGAGGGTGGGGCTGTAAGGCTGGGATCGACTGACGACACCCGGTCGAACTTGCTACAAGCTAACCCAAAGCTAACGCGGAGGTGGGCGCTAATGGAGGTAGCAACCTAGCTACAACCGGAGTTAACTGTGCACAACACCAGAGCTTCTGAGTCAGAGATACGCCGGGCTGACCGCTGGGTAAAACCGGGTGGAACACAGAGGTCTCCGAGACCTCCACAAGCAGGCAGCCCGTGCAGCAGACAGAAGCCGCGATCAGACAGAGATGCGCCGAGCTGCGGGGAGGGGAGAACAGGTGGAAAACAGAGGTCTCCCGAGAGCTCCACAAGCCGATAGTCGGAACCCAGCTCCACCAACATGTTATATTTCAACCCATTTTCTAAAGTGCAGCATTATGTTAAATGCACTGGGTTTTACCCTATTACATTTAAATGTCATGGTTAAACAGTACATGTTAAAATCTAAGCTCAGCTCGGCAGTGACCTAAAATACATAAATATAATTTTACTTACCGAAAAAAATGAAGTGGAGACTCCTTGGACGCTCTATTAGTGCAATTAATGCCACAGCAAGTCATTTTGTCCAACAATTGCACAAATAATATCCAAACAAGAATACACAAACACAGAGACTCAAAATCCCGGAACAGTTTCCAAGCCAGACCGAGGCTCTACTGAAGCCTTTCCCCGGAGCTAGCTCTGTGGTCACGTGGGTCTGATGCTCATTAATTATACAGAATTTTAGGCTTTTAATACACTTAAACAGAAGAGTGAGAAAAAAATTCACCCCCCTCAGAGTTGTCATGAGTGTAAACTAGATCATTTAAACAACAAACTTGTTTTGGCACCAGGCTGTAAACATGATTATTTCTGCTGTGAAATTGGTATTTTTAACATGGGAGTCAATGAGAATTAGCTCGCTTCTGACACCAGCCCCTAGTGGATGAGGGTGAAACTGCATTTTATTTCACTTCCGGGATTGCTTCAGTTTTTCAGCCGCATTGTGGGGGCTTTGTCCCAAACGGCTCCTCTCAGCGTGTCTACGCAGCATCTACCCCTACTCTCTCCAGGATGCCGGAGCTCCGTAGCCCACCTCTAAGGCCGAGCCCGGCTGCCCTGCTGGGGAAAGTTGCTCTCATGATCTCGTTCATTCAGTCATCGCCCAAAGCTTGTTAGCATCAGCGAGGATCGGGAAGAAGGTTCACCACTAAACTTCAGCCTGAGCTTCACTGCAGATGCTGCCCCAATGTGGTTTTATTCTACATCTAAAGCAGATGAATGCCTCTGACTGCCTGAATATAACTGGTGTTTTCTCTTGTAGGGTTTTGGCTCGTCTGGGCGCTCATCTTCATTTTATGCTGCTGCTGCATTTGCCACCATCGCCGCACCAAACACCGCCTGCAGCAGCAACAACGACAGCACGAGATCAACCTCATAGCTTACCGTGAAGCACACAACTATCCGTCTGTGCCCTTTTACTTCAGTAAGACTCCCGCAGACACCCTGTAACAGTCAGACTCACCCCAGCGAGCATGCCGGTGCATATTTATAGTTGTAGCTGGTTAATAACAAATCTGTCTGAAGCTGCACTAAAGTTCACTCAGTTTATCTGTGGTCGCTCTCTCTCTCTCTCTGCATGCTGATAAACGCTTTGCACCGTAACTGCACGATGAGCAGCAGCCTATAAACGCTGAAAACGGAGACGTCACTAAGTGGCCCGAAGGAAGATGAACTCAGAAAGGAAACGTGCCCTTTTGCCTGCTGGCCTGATCAGATGGAACATGTTGCTCAATGCAGCTGGATTTGTAAATCGGCAAACGTTGGCATCTTTGTGACACAAGGCTTTGGAGATGGTTTGGTAAAAGGGCCCAGGTCGTTCTTTAGCTTGAACCCTAACACCAGCTCTACCTAGTACCTGTTACTCTGACTAGAGCTGCTTGTTAAATGACAGCAGTGGGGGTTTGATCGAGACTTTACGATGTTTGTTTTATGTGATTTACATGAACTCTGTAGGTTTTTTCCCCAGCTTGACCTTTAATAGGTCCTCCCCCCTACATGTTTAAATGGTCTTTTTTATTATTTACAGAGGCAGACTTGCTCTGGTGTGTCTGATGTTTGATCGCAGCCCAGAGCAGCGCTGTGGCTTTAATGTGATGTTTGCCTTGAGAATCCATCCGGAGCTTCTAACGACGTCCCTGTATGCACGCCCCAGTTCTCAGGAGACCGACAGCACTGCTGTCTTACCCCTTCTTTCCACCGGAGCCGTCAGCAGCACGTTACTGCAGCAGCACGTCATAGCTGCTGATAGGAACCGCTGTGGTCAACAGAACCTTTTCCACCGGAGCCGTCAGCAGCGCGAGTCGGCCGCGTCTCAGGAGCAGCATGTCGCGGCCTTTACGCGCCGGTTCTATTTTCTACACGCGACGCCTCTGAAACGGGTCAAGTTCGACATTTTTGGGGAAGGAAAGACAGGAAATCGGACGCGGAAATGGAGAGAAGCTCCCGAGATTTTCAGAATAAAGAACGTACTGCCTTCCGGTTGCTTTACTTTAAAAAAAAGTTACTAACTGTGCGGCCCCGTGAGAAGTTATCACCTAGCTAGCGGTCTCCTTTGTTTTTCAGGTCCGTATTGGCGATTATAAAATGGACAGAACATAAAACACAAACCTTTTGGAGCCATGTTGTAATTTTCTCCTGCTTGTTGTTGTGTTTACTGACGAAGTCACTCGTGTGACTTTGTGCTCTGTCGGTGACAGCTGCTCCCCTGCAGCTTCGCGTCTCGTGGGAAGGGCCAAGCAGCAGCTTACACGAGCAAGACGTGCTGCTGCAGTAACGTGCTGCTGACGGCTCCGGTGGAAAGAAGGGGTTAGTTCCCTGCCGCTGCTGCAGTAACGTGCTGCTGACGGCTCCGGTGGAAAGAAGGGGTTAGTTCCCTGCCGCTGCTGCAGTAACGTGCTGCTGACGGCTCCGGTGGAAAGAAGGGGTTAGTTCCCTGCCGCTGCTGCAGAACCATCGGAGATCTGCAGCAGCACAGAACGGCCCAGAACTGGGCTCGCCTGCTCATGTTGCTTCCCTGTGTTGCTTGTGTTTGGAAAATGCAAAAAACACGTGTTCAGAAGAAGCTGTCACACGTTGAACTTGTTGGGTTGTTGTGCTGCCGTGTGGGCCTCTACCGCCTCGGAACACAGCGACCATAAACAAAACACTCGTCAGTGTTTGGTTTAAGGAAATATGTGCTTGTGGCAAAGTGTTTCAAAAAATCCCTGTTTGTGATGTCACAAATGGGTCTACTATGATTCCCTCCCACGTATCTGAGCTTCTCAGCTTATAGCAGCCTGAGTGGGTGGGCGTGGCCAGCTCCAGCTTGTTTTCTTTAAGGGACAGAGCCCAGACTGCTGAGATATCTTTGTGAGAGGGATTAAGTGCAAACCTTATAAACCTGTTTTGTCTCGACCATAGAACCATTAAGAAAAAGTCAATATGTCTCCTATAAAGTAGTTTTTTTTTCTTCTTTAGGGTTTCTGCCGAACTACCTCCTCCCCGACTATGAAGAAGTTGTCAATCGACCACCGACTCCTCCGCCTCCTTACACGGCCTTAAGCACAAACTCTCCGCTGGCGTCTGGTCCCATGGTTCCTGAGCAACAGGAGGGACATCGTCCAGCCATCCAGCCCTCTTGTGTGGCTCCAGTCTCCGACGGTTCGTGTTGCAGGCCCAGCATGGAAGAACCACAGCCTCCAAACTTTGACTTTAGCCCCAAACCCACACAAACGGCTCAAGATTCAGGCGTGGTTCTGCTGCCGGACCGACTCGGCATAGAGACGCTCACCAACCAGGACAAAAAAACTGAAAGCGTGGACGACTCCTGCAAAGACCCTCTGCTTAAGGATTTTAGCTCGTTGGAGGGTTGTCCTGAGGATAAAGAGCGTCTCCCAAATGGAAGGAGAAGGCGTTTCACAGGGGACTCTGGGATTGAGGTGTGTGTGTGTGGCACACGCGGCGGCAACAGTTGCAGCGGCGTCGGAGGGACAGACCAGGACAGCAGAGAGCTCGAGAGCCTTCTGGGCCGCAACATGGATGACGACAATGAGGAGGGGGAGGAGACAGGTGACTTCTGTGACAGCTGTGGCCATCAGGCCTCCTTTGGTGTGGAGGAGGAGCGGAGGGCAGGGCATGGGCTAACGGCAGCTCCTCAGAACGTAGGCAGCAGCTCACTCAGCCCACCCGTTTGCCTTCTCCTCCACACCATCAGCGAGCAGGACGGAGCAGCGCACAGCACCGAGCCACAGGGCTGAACCACTGCTCACCACCATGTTCACAGGAAGAAGGAGAACTCACCACAGCTTTAGCGACCCAACAGCATTTACAATACTTTCAGAGAGTTACATGAATGTATTACATCAGCCAGATGTGGGAGCTGCAGCTGGCTCTCAGCACAAAATGCAAAGGAAGCCCACTACTCCCTGTACTGGACTGTGGGCCTTAACCTGTGTGTGGGTTATGTGGAGGTGGGGGGTACAAACCCTGTAACAGTATAAGGCGAGTGAAACTTCCCCCACCGTCACTCTTCAGCCGTTCCTCTCATATCACACCAGCAGTACAGATCTTAACCATCGTTGGCGGCGACTCGTCAGCAGGCGGAGTCTGCACAGCTAGAGAGTGGAACAACGCTCAGCAGGAACGGTCTGGACTTCCCCGTGTTTGTTCCTAGAGGGTCTAACTGTCTTAAGAACATCAGAAAGCAGACGTTGGGACGTTCTGTTCGCCTCATTCCTCTGAAGTGCTTTTTCAGCCATTCTAGACCGCTCTGCCTTGTGTTCGTCTCTGTTGGCCCTTCCAGCAGAAGGGACGTGTACGCCTCTTAAATCATAGTACACTTCCCTTTTTGCACACAAGATTAGTTTTTAATCACTTTATAACCAAATCAGAGTTTAGTTTCCCACATAATCTTGAGTTGCAGCATGTGATTTGTTTTGCTGCAACGTCCTTGAAGACGTCTTGACTTGTTAGGGATTTTTAAACAGGATTGTTGAATGTTTTGCAGTACATGTCTACAGGCGGTGAGATGATTTACTAAGAACCGCTTTAGTGGTACTAGAATAAAAACAGCCCTTCAGGTATAATCTAGAGAGTTCAGCTTCTGAGAGATTACAAGAGCGACCGGCAACATCACACCTCAAAAGTTTGCCATCTTCACCAGCGACGCGATCTAAAAACACATATTTACAGTCTTAAAGTTGAATTTATCAGTAGCACCAAATAACTGAACACTTTTCATAACGGGTGCTTTTTTATTTTGGTCAAGTGAAGTATTGTCTCCGAAAAAGGTTTGTTCTTTGCACTGTTCAGAGATGGAGAAGGAGACTAAGACACGTTTATGTTCACTTGTTAAGTTGCCTAGGTTATGGATGAGCATTAAACAAGCAAATAAGTCAGAAATAAGCAGATCAGCTACTAAAAAGGTAGTTTTTAGTAACAAGTGATTTCTCCAATATGTCTGAACCATTCCTTTCACGATCGGCAAATAAATGTTGAAACTAGCTATTTACAGTCTGTTAATGTCGTTTAAACACACAAAACAATTTTTTCATGTTCTCTTGTTGGTTTGATTTGACTTGTTGAGGTCCCAGAGTCTGGGGGCCACAGCAGCTTACTCACAACTTACCTTCATGCATCTGCAAAAACGAGCACAAATATGCAACTTCTGCAAAAGCAAACATTTTAACGATTGGTTTTTGCAGCAGATTAACCTTCAAAGCATCAAACGGACAACCGATCCACGATTCTCCAGCAGAGGTTAAAGTGCAACGTGAACGCTTGTGCATCAGAACCTAAACACACTTTACACCTTAGTGCTTTTTGTAAACTTTACGTGTTCAGCTATTTTTCACATCAGCTGATTCATTAAAAGTGTATAAATGTCAGAAAGAAAAAAGTCACAAAACCACTATTTTTCTAACTAATATTCAGTTACATGTTTGGGAGCCAAATAGTTGTTTTGATCATTTGTGTAAAATCATTAGCTTTGTTAACCATGATGGGTATTATGTTTGAGAAAAGATTTGTGTGCGTTTGAGGCCTAATCTGAGCTGTGTAAAGGGCACGTTTGACACTTTCCTCTCTTGCCAAGTGTGTGTGCGCACACAGGTGTGTGTTTTGCACATTGCTGTTCTGATCATAAGCCATTTATTTCTGCAGCTGAGATGAATGTATGTTCAATAAAACTACTAAACGGAAGCAAGTTTTTGTCTATTTTCTATTTATGGTTTGGAGGAATGGTTGGTGGTTGTGCTACGGCTGTAGGAGGACAAACGTTTGGCACTTTAAATATCTATAAATTATATATTTAGTTTTATTGGAAGTGAATTCTGCTAAGATAAAAGTATACTTATTTTGTGAGGTCAGCTTGTCCTTTAAAAGAACATTGAGGTATTTTTACTTTCTAATAAGTTTCCAGTTTTGTTTAACATGAACTTGAGACACAAAGACCTGTCCTGTAAGTTAAAGTTTTGCTGTTCTGAGTTATAAACTCAAATGTTTAAACATTTTCCACTATTTAGTTTTCAGATCCATTTTCTTTACAAGTTACATTTTATTAAACGGATGTCGATTATTAAAACGTAGACATCAAAGGATCCGCTTGGATGAACCAACTCGTATCCCGTCTTTGGACTTTAATTTCAGGAGAAGAAGAAGAAAAGGCTCCGCTAACCCGGAAGTATGCCGGAGATGGAACATCCACGGATTTGTGCACTTTAACCCTAAAGCTGTTTAAACACTTGCACTAATGGCTCAAGACAGGAGGTAAGGACCACTTGTTCCTCACACGAAGACTCGTTTGAAAGTGTTGATATCTAAAAAGCGTGTTGTTTCTAAATACGATCGATAAAGTTGCTTCAAAATGACATTTGGTCTCTAAAGTTTCCTAACTGCCTTCTGTAGCAAACATAAAACATCAAAGTTATCCTGTTGCTACCAACATGAAACCAATAACATGGAAATTTCAAGCAAATGTATCTTTTTCAGTTGCTGTGGAAACGGTCTCTTTGACTCATGTCTTCACCTGGACGTAAAGGTAACGTTACGTCACGTAGTTTTCGTCAGGGCGGGGAGCACTGTGTGTGTGTGTGTGTGTGTGTGTGTGTGTGTGTGTGTGTGTGTGTGTTAAGCCCCCCAAATAAAATGAGGAACTTTATGTAAATAAAGGCTGTTGGCCCCAAAATCCAACTATAATTACAGAATTTGGATCATTGCCCCCCCCCCCCCCCCCCCCCCCCCCCCAATAGAAATAGCGTCTTTGCTCCGGTGACCTCATGACCTGCAGTTGGAGCAGAGAAACATCCAGAACATACAGGATGATGGCCTCCAAGAACCAATAGAGCTGCTGGTTAGACCCTTTGGTCACCAGCTAACACAGTGGCTCCTAAAGTTGGAGTCTGGACTCTAGTCTTTATTAAAGTAGCCTTTTCTTACTGTGCTTGTGCCCTTTTCTCTGTTCAATCAGGATTATTATGGGAAGATCCTGAGGAAAACCTCAGACCTGAAGACCAATGCCTGCAAGACTCCAGCCCAACCAACCCCAGCTTTCATTCGTGATGCTCTGATGAAAGTCCACCCTGATGTTTGTGCCCGGTTGGTGGAGCTTTTATACACATCTTCATATCCACACAGTCCCAAGCAGCTCTGAAACGGATGTGTTCTGACTCTTGATAGGTACTATGGCTGTGGTCTGGTTGTGCCACTGTGCGTGGAGGGCTGCAGGATACTGGACCTGGGTAGTGGAAGTGGGAGAGACTGCTACGTGTTGAGTCAGCTGGTGGGGGAGGATGGCCATGTCACAGGCATTGACATGACAGAAATCCAGGTGCTGAGCAGCAACAACAACAATATCAGCAGCACTTGTTCACATGGAAAACATTTTTAGGGTTTTAAAAAATAGTTTAGAAGTGTCTTCATCATCCAGACACAAACCAAAAGGGACCTAGAGCTCAACATGATCGGGTGTCCAGCATGTAGCCTGCCACCATTCCTTCTGTTACTTCTGACATGCCAGAGGTCAGAGGTCAGATCAGAAGTGGATCACAAAAATTCTTCAAATGCAAGATTTTCACTTAGGAACCAAAAAGTTTTCAGGGTTTAGTGTGTTAAATACCATAATGTAACATAAGAGGAGCCCGTGTTTGGTGATTATGCAAAGGTTTGTTTTATGGCTTCATCCTTGCATCCACATGGAAACGTCGATTTTTACTCACAATAAAAGAATTACAAACTTCTCCTTTTGCATTTTCATGCACGAAAGACGAGCAACAAAGATGTCATATTGGCCGTGTTCGAGATGAGCCAGTTCTGCGCGGATTAGATCACCGGTGATCGGCGCGCAGTGCTTGCCGGTAAGATTTGTGTCTGACTTGACGCTGACTTGCTCTGACGTCATGCTTACGCGGGCAATGATAACCTCGTGAGATCAAGGCGGCGTTTTCCAGGCAAGGCGCTGCTCAACTCGAACAAGGCCAATGTCCCCACCCCTAACCTAACCTTTGACCCCGGTTCATGGTTTTTATTCTTGTAGCGACGCTACAGCGCCACATGCAGGCTCGGCATGATAACGACAGCGATTTGGGTCCTTATGTGTGGATTAGGACAGTTTTAGAAACGCCCATATGTTTGTAAGGACATCTTTAAGAAGCTGAGTTTAGTGAAGCAGTTTCCATGCTGTCAAATCACAGTCTCTGGTAATTCAGGTAAACATTTAAAAGTCCTGGCAGTTGTTTGTGCACTCATCGTGAAGGAAAGGTTCTTTTCTTGAAGCTTGAAGTGGCCAGAAACTACGTGGACTACCACATGAACGAGTTTGGCTACAAGAAGCCGAATGTGAGTTTCGTCCAGGGCTACATGGAGGCCTTGACTGAGGCGGGTCTGGAAAAGAACTCGTTTGATATCGTCATGTAAGTTCTTGGTCTTCTTACTCGTTACGTGATCAGTTTTTTATTCTAATTATTGACTCAGTTTGACTTTATGTCCAATCGTAGTTCCAACTGTGTGGTGAACCTCTCTCCAGACAAGAAGCTGGTTCTGGCTGAAGCTTACAGTGTACTCAAGGTCAGCTGTTCCTGCTTCGCTAAGATTATTCATATTATGACTCATAAGGTCAGCAGGCAGAGCGGGTTGAACAGTAATCAGAAGGTTGCAGGTTTGAAACCGGCTCCACCCAGAGAAGGCTGCTGTTGTATCCTTGGGCAAGACACTTAACCCCTTTACCTGCTGCTGGTGGTCCGAGGGACCGGTGGCGCCTCAGTCAGCGCCCCAGGGCAGCAGTAGCCACATCGTAGCTCATCCCCACCAGCGTGTGAATGGGTGAACGACTGATTGTGTTGTGAAGCGCCTTGGGGGGCTGTAGAACCCTAGAAGGCTCTATACAAATACAGGTAATTTTCAGTGCTTTGAGCTCTGCTGTTCACAAATGTTGTTGTTTACTCACCAGGAAGGCGGTGAGCTGTACTTCAGTGACATCTACTGCAGCGGACAACTGACAGAGGAAATTAGAAATCACAAAGTGATGTGGGGTGCGTCCACTTAATATCCCGCTGCTGTCACAAGCATCTGCACGAAGCGCCGAGAAGTTTTAATTTGAAGGAGACATATCATGACTTTTCTTAAAGAGCAAGTCACCGCCTACCAGAGTATTACTCCACTCCCACTTCCTGTTTGAAGCAGACCAAGAGGGCGGAGCTGATAACAAATATACACACACACACAGGCTCACAACGACATTGTGACATCATATGGTACCAGATAACATTCTAGGGTACCTCTTAGCCAATAGTGATGGCAGATTTAAATTCAAATGCAGTGCATAGTTTTTACCTGACAACGGCACAACACTGACAGTTTTAGGCAGAAAATAAAAATTTTAACTAAAATGCACTAAAGTGCAAAACTATTGACTACACGTGTCTGCAGCACGATTAGACACGCGTTTATGTAGTTTATCAGCAAAAAGTTGATTTGGGGGTGACTTGCTTTTTAAGTTAAAACAAATTCATGAAGTTCTTTTCACTAAGTCTTGCTCACATTAAGAGATTTCAGCAGTTTCAGTACCTTCCAGAATGAGCCGTTTGAGGGCTCTGTCACTTTAAGGTAAAGAACTGGAGCTGCACCCATGGAGGTTGGCTGGGCACAGCCCAAAGAGGAGATGTGGGTCCTCCTTCCCATGGGTTCTCTGCTCGTAAGAGGGGCCCGAGGGGTCAGGTGGAGTTGGTAGCTGAAGGCAGGGATCTTGGCGGTTGATCCTGGGCTACAAAAGTTAGCTCTCGGTACGTGGAATGTCACCTCTGGTGGGGAAGGAGCCTGAGTCGGCGTGTGAGGTTGAGGTTCCAACTAGATATAGTGGTACTCAGCTCGACACATGGCTCTGGAACCGGTTTCCTTTGGAGCTAACACATGAGCGTCTGCATGGTCTGGGTTTGGTCCAGCTGGATGGCGTGAGTTCGGTCTCGAACGGGCGGTGTACTGTTCACATATAAATCAGAGGGACTTCTCAGGAACGTGGAAATCCCCGAGCCTGTGGGCGGAGTTTAATACACACGGGAAAGTCTGCGGTGTCCTCCATTATAAGGTAAACAAAGGCGGACATTAGCTGTGCTGCTTTTGGAGACTCTGAACCACATAACTTTATTAATGTGTGTGTGTGTGAGTGTCCATGATCTTGTGCCACACACACACTGATTTCTCCCCTGAGCAGCTCTCTGCTCGCCGGGGCAAGGGCTCCGATGCAGAGAACAGGCACACACACACACACACACCCACACACACACCCACACACAGCTCTCTCTCTTCTCCCGTTCCCACTGAGCAGCAGCTCCGAGCTACAGACAGGAGTTTACTCAGCAGCTGGCTCATTCTTCTCGCAGATCGGAGGCGGTAGGCGTAATTTCAGTCGGCCTATCAGCCCGTAGTGTCGCCTCGGTCCCAGTCGGACCGCTGGAGAAGGTCTGAGAAAAGAGTCGCCTCGGCACCGAAAACACAAATCTGACCTCCGACGCTAATGTGTAAGCGCCACTTGAGAGAAGTTGGACTTTCCACCACTCTGGAGTTGCTCCAGCTGAGAGGCGCCGAGCAGGGGTGGGCATACTAGTTGCCCCCCATCTCGGTGCCTGTACATTTGGGTTTTCCCCGGCGAACGAGAGGGTAGCCTCCCTCCGCCTATACGTGGGGGGACGGGTTCTGACCGTGGTCTGTGCTCATGCACCAAACTACAGCTCAGACTACCCACCCTTTTGGAGACCTTGGAGGAGGTGCTGGGGAGCGCTCCTTCAAGGGACTCCCTCGTTGTGCTGGGGGACTTTCATGCTCACGTGGGCAACGACAGTGAGACCTGGAAAGGTGTGGTGGGGAGAAACGGCCCCCCTTATATGAATCTGAGCGGTGTTTTGTTATTGGACTTTTGTGCTCGTCATGGATGGTCCGTGATGAACACCATCATCGAGTCCGAGTGGGCCATGCCTCCATCGTCAAGGAGGCCAGGCAATGGATGGCTGGCTCAGAGCAGAGCTGCTGCTCCTCCATCCTGGAGCGGTGGGAGGTGGTTCTGTTCTAAAGTCCCTGTTTGTGACATCACAATCAGGGACTTTATGAAATGTTTTATGTTAGGCTCATAGTTCTGAAAGCAAACATGGACAAAACACAGATGGACAGGTGTTTTAACGTTGGGGGTGTTTATAGAAGCAGCAGAGAGCCACATGGCAGCACTAACGAATGCAAACGTGTCCCCTTTGAAATGTTTAGTGTTTGATACCTGGTGTGGTTCCTAACATCTGATCTCCTCGGTTTGTTGCTTGTTCAGACGGTGAACTTTTATTCATTTGTATTTGAAGATTACACACGTCAGTAGGTTTGTCTGCTGTTTCACTTGCGGACTCTGGACCTCGTCTGCAGCTTTCACACATGTTGGACACAACAAAGATCCTCCGTGCCTCACACACCTTCTCACTAATCACACTGAAGAAGCTGAGCCTTTCTGAATGACACCTGGTGGTTGTGAGTGGACCCACACTGAGCCTCATGTGAAAATGCTGAAATCAGCAGCCATGAACTTTACAACCCGCGTTAGTCACTTCGGTCCTGGTCTTCAGCTCGGATCAATTCCCCGCCTGTCTCTTTTCTTCTGGCTGCAAAAGCCCAATCTGTTGTCCTTTGCTCTTTACTCTGCTGACACATGACTGTTCTGATAAATTCAGCGCAAATCAGCTCGTTAAATTTGCTGATGACACAACAGTTGTGCTACTCTACACTCATGATGATGAAACATCTGACAGGCCTCAGGTGGAACAGTCAGTGAGCTGATCTGGAGACAGTTTGTCCAACGTGTGTAAACACCGGAGTAGCTGGGCTTGTGCGTCCTCGGGTTTTAGTGCAGACCATTGTTTCAGTTTATGATCTCATTGTTTTGTACTTGCACAACAGTGCAGTGTTGTTCACGTACTGTTCACAGAAATGTGAGCAAATGATATTTTTTTGCTGATAAACTATATAAATGCGTGTCTAATCGTGCTGCAGACACGTGTAGTCAATAGTTTTGCACTTTAGTGCATTTTAGTTAAAATTTAAATTTTCTTCCTAAAACTGTCAGTGTTGTGCCGTTGTCAGGTAAAAACTCTGCCCTGCATTTGAATTTAAATCTGCCATCGCTATTGGCTAAGAGGTACCCTAGAACGTTAGCTGGTACCATATGATGTCACAATGTCGTTGTGGGCCTGTATGTGTGTGTGTGCATTTGTTAGCGGCTCCGCCCTCTCGGTCTGCTAGGCAACAGCATTTGTTGCGTTTTTCAAACAGGAAGTGAGAGTTGAGTAAGAATCTGATAGGGGGTGACTTGCTCTTTAATGTTTGATCCCACTTCAGATTAGCATGAGTGGTTTTGGACAGGGAAGCGTTTTTCTGACGGTTGGATTGTTGTGCAGGCGAGTGTCTCGGCGGAGCACTCTGGTGGAAGGATCTGCTTCGGCTAGCCGACGAAGTCGGCTTCAGCGTGCCGAGACTGCTCACAGCCAGCATCGTCAGCGTTGGCAACGAGGAACTGCAGCACATTCTGGGTGTGGAACCGTTTTATTAGACTTTGTTTTGCAGGTTTTACTCAGTAAAATTTTATTGATAATAAAATTCTGTGAAATCTGAATTTGGCCAAATGTAAACATTTGTTCCTGCTGAACTCCAGAAACATTGTCATAGCAGCTAATTTTGTTATTTAAATATTGTTTACTCGGATTATTTACATTCTGGGTCGATTTATTTTCTTTAGCTTCTCTCGAATGGTAATAAATCAGCTGAAGAATCATTTTGACTTAAAATGCAACCACGTTGTTGCAATTACAGTTATTTAATGCTTACCTTATGTTTTATCATCACGTGGAACATATCAAAACATCATTTTTAATGATTCTACCAGGGATGTGTATTTTTGAAATCCTGGCGATACGATACATATCACGATACAGGGGAGACAATACGATATATCACGATATATTGCATTACATTCAGTCAGATGTTACAAGCAATTTTTTTACTGAATTTATTGTAAGAATGTTCAATAAACAGTCCAAACTGATACGTAACATGTTTAACATGAGGTATCTGAACCATGATGGAGGGATTTACAGTTCAATGGTGGAAACAAAACCCGTTGCACACTGCTGCCAACTAGCGGGTGGCGATTGAATTGCACAAAACGAAAAGAAAAAACACAAATGTTTGCATGTAAATTCTTTCAAGAATTAGATACACGGCTTTTGAATATCGATGTAATAATCTCAGGAAAAAATATCACGATATATTGCCATATCGATATTTCTGATACACGTTTTTTGAATATCGATATAATATTTCTGGAAAAAAAAAATCACGATATATTGCCATATCGATATTTTCTTACATCCCTAGATTCTACCCATTTTATTGTTTTGATTTCAACTCAGAAAATTGCTTAATTAGATAAATTTTTTACCTGTTTTGCAATGTAATTGACTTTATTTTTAACTTAATCCCAAAATCCTGGGATAACTTAATCCTGTATTTTAAACTGTGTTTTAAATACAGAAAATAAAGGATAATAAACTTACTTTAAACCAAATGTGTTCAATATATATTGGGCTAAAAGTGACTTGTGTTATTCTGTAGGGACATTTTTATCTAATGGCTGATTTATTCAATTTCCGATCCAGGTGACTTCAAATTTGTTTCTGCCACTTACCGCCTGTTTAAAGTCCCTAAAGGCCCCCCCGAGGCTTGTCGGGTCGTTTACAACGGAGGCGTCACCGGAGCGGAGGACAGGTTACGCTTTGACTGTCGGAACACCTTTAAGGTCTGTTTATGCCACATAGTTCACGGTTTCCTGCTCATTAATGACGTGAACATGTATCGTTTCTCAGGCTAATGAAGTGGTGGAGGTGGATGGAGAACTAGCTAACATCTTGAAATGCTCCAGATTCGCTCCAGATTTCAATTTTCAGCCACCGGGTGGCTCCACTGAGCTCTGTTGTGTCAACCCTAAGGTCAGTGTCAGATTTAAATTCCTGGTTAAGAAAATGTGCAGTTTGTTTATCTGTCCTACTCATCAGAGGTCAGTGTGTCTCTGGTACCAGTTAGAAGAGTCTGACACACCCAGAGCGACACATGTGTGCACTAGGACTCACGCTGGGCACTCTCATTGAAACGTGCACACACATCCACACACACAGAAGGTCAAGCAGCTGTCTTGGAGTCATAACCGCGGAGTGGAGTCATGCTGCGGAACCTTGAACAGGAAGGAATGTTCTCTTCTTGGCTAACAGAATGGCATCTTATCAGCTCCTCCGGCCAGTCGATGCACGCGTTAATCAATACCACCACGCTTTAAAATCGCCCTCCTAATTCACTCAGAACAACATTTCCTCTAAAAGTAAAATATGTTCGAAGTTATGAGAAAGTCTGTCAGAGTTTTGGTGATTTATTAAAATACGACTTGATAGTTTGACCTTTGGACTCCCAGCCTCCTGGGGTGAAATCGGGTCAGATGAGAACATTTTGGTCTTCTTACTGAAAGCTACTGTTAAACGTTACTTTTGCAAGATTAGCTAAAACTAACACGCAAACTACATGTTAGAAAACCCCAAGGAAGTGTGTATCCTGCTAATACTCCCTCATACACACACACAGAGTTTTTATTGATCCCTCAAGCTTTCGGGTTTGAAACATTTCTGCGATCCGACCAAGGATCCTGAATGAGACATGAGAGTAAATCAAAGCCCTAAAAGGATGTTGGTGTGCGTTCTACACATAACGTTGTCTTCCTTGTTGAATTATTGATGCAGGCTGACATCGTGGATCCTTTTGAGCTGGCTGTTGAGCTGGGCAGCCAGGGCCTCAGTGCAGCCACAGGGGGATGCTGCAGCACAAAATCTGCTGACTGCTGCAGATGATGAGCATGATGGGAACAGCACAGTACAAACCCGACACAGTGTGTGTGTGTGTGTGTGTGTGTGTGTGTGTGTGTGTGTGTGTTAGAAAGGATGATCTTGGCTTTTATTCCTACCTTTTTCATGCATATTTACCAAGTTGCATTTCATATAGAACAGTAGACCTTGTGAAGACACTGCTTGTTGTTTGGAATAAAACTTGAATATTTTCACATGTTTTAAATTTCTAAAGTTTTCTGCAGTGGTTTGGCAGATTTTTAGAACATTTGCATCTGGCCCAGTTTACATCACTATTACATTGCAAATATAAATTGTGCATTTATTTCAAAATCCAAGTACTTTAAAGTTCAAAGTGACTTTAAAGTAATCTTTAAATAGCAGTGGAATCTCCAGAATGCTTTTATTACAGTATCTGTGCAAAGTTTGTACTTATTTATGTTAAATGAACAAAAACAAATGTTTGCAGAGAAAAACTAAGTGTGTTGCATCTTTGCCTTAACAAAAGCCACAAAGTATTAAAACTCCTGTAAATTTTTGTACCATGATATGGTTTCCAGTAAGACTTTACAAATAAATTCTTATCATGTGTTTTACTGTTAGTAATCTAGGCTATTAAATGTAGTTTTCTAACAGAATACCGTTATATATATATATACATATGTCTACTGCAAAGCCACATGTGTAAAAGGCCCACTTCATCATGGCCCGGCCGCTCCGGTCAACACAGGATCGTCGGCTAGCAGTGCCTACACCATGCTCAGGACAACCCAGGCTCTTCTCATGCATCGTTCCACAAATGTGGAATGACCTACCAAGCACTACCAGAACAGGGGCTTCCTTTTCAGTTTTCAAGAAACTCCTGAAGACCCTGCTCTTCAGAGAGCATCTTCTAAACTAGCACCCTCCCTGCACCCGTCCCCCCCTCTCTACTGTCCACTCCTTGTTCCCTCCTCTCCATGATTGATGTCAAGTTGTTGTTATTGTTGTTGTTAGCCTCAAGGGCAACATGCCGATTATCACTTGTAAGTCGCTTTGGACAAAAGCGTCTGCTAAATACATAAACATAAACATAATAAACTGGGTGTAAACAAAGCGGAAGTCAGTAAATCACGTAAAGATTCCTCTTCGCCACCATGAAGACGCTTTTCCTATTTTATTCCTGTTAAATTGACTTTAGTTCATTTCCAGGTTTAAAAAGTCACGGGAAGAGTTCCGTTTGCCTCTTAACATGAGGTGCACTTGTTTTGGATTTTGATTGGCCAGTGAGGCTGCAAACGCCCCGCCCCTGAGCTATCCGCCGCTCCTGATTGGTCGAGGCCGTCGCCTGTCTCGGGGACACCCGGAGAGGCACGAGCTGGCCCGTGAGCCTGCGCTCGCGAGTCCTCAGTGTCGGACACGTAGTGGGAAAGAGCAGGTCCCGATGCACAAGTCACGGCAGCCCTGGGCGGAGATGAAGGCGGACTCCGACCGGCTCTGACTTTTAAAAGCCCTTTTCATTCAGGAGGTCGGTGGCCGACGGCCATCAACATGGCAGACCCGTCATCCCAGGACCCCGCCGCTGCGAAAATGGCGTCACTTAACCGGGTCCGAGCTTTGGCGATGCTTTTCTTAACCGTCACCGGCTGCTGTGTCACCCCGACAAGTGGCAAGGAAGGGTCCGAGGAGACCGTCATCATCGGGCTGCGACTGGAGGACACGGACGACATTTCCTTCATGGATAAGGGATACCTGCGCGTGAGCGAGCGCTCGCGGGTGAAGTTACGGGTTTACGGGCAGAACATCAACAACGAGACCTGGTCCAAAATAGCTTTTACGGAACACGAGCGGAGCCGGCCGGCAGGGAGCTTCGACAGCTCCTCGGGGGATAACGAGAGCCAGGAGGAGTCCTCCGGCTCGCATCCCTGCGGGATTAGGACTTCGGATATAATCATATTACCCAACATCATCCTGAGTCGGAAAACCTCCGGAGTTGTGGAAATTGAGGTCAAACCTCTGAGGAAGACTGAAAGGAGTAAAGCGTATTACCTCTGCATCGCCACCTCTGCGCCGGCTGTGGCCGGGATGCACGACCCGTGGACGGAGAACACCTGGATCTACCACGATGGGGACGACACCAGGGTGATAGTGGTGGAGGAGAAGAAGTTCCTGCTGCCTTTCTGGCTGCAGGTCATTTTCATCTCCATGCTGCTCTGCCTGTCCGGCATGTTCAGCGGCTTGAACCTGGGGCTCATGGCTCTGGACCCCATGGAGCTCCAGATCGTCCAGAACTGCGGTACCGAGCGGGAGAAGAATTACGCCAAAAAGATCGAGCCGGTCCGGAGCCAGGGGAACTACCTGCTGTGCTCGCTGCTGCTCGGGAACGTGCTGGTCAACACCACGCTGACCATCCTGCTGGACGACATCGCCGGTTCCGGTCTGATCGCCGTGGTCATGTCCACCATAGGAATAGTGATCTTTGGAGAAATCGTGCCCCAGGCCATCTGCTCCAGGCACGGCCTCGCTGTGGGCGCCAACACCATCTTCCTCACCAAGTTCTTCATGCTGCTCACCTTCCCTGCGTCCTACCCGGTCAGCAAGCTGCTGGACTACCTGCTCGGACAGGAGATCGGAACCGTGTACAACCGGGAGAAGCTCCTGGAGATGCTGCGCGTAACGGACCCCTACAACGACCTGGTGAAGGAGGAGCTGAACATCATCCAGGGCGCCCTGGAGCTCCGGACTAAGACCGTGGAGGACGTGATGACGCCGCTGAGAGACTGTTTTATGATCCCGGGGGACGCCACTCTGGACTTCAACACGATGTCAGAAATCATGAAGAGCGGCTACACGCGCATCCCGGTGTTCGAGGGCGAGAGGTCCAACATAGTGGACCTGCTTTTTGTGAAGGACCTGGCCTTCGTGGACCCGGATGACTGCACGCCGCTCAAAACCATCACCAGGTTTTACAGCCACCCGCTGCACTTTGTTTTTAATGACACCAAGCTGGACGCCATGCTGGAGGAGTTTAAAAAAGGTGAGGCGTTATGTGTTTGAGCTTCACCTGTCTGCTCTCTGTTCAGCCCTGAGACAGGTGTGACCTACGTCATCACCTGCTGGGACTCCAAAATAACCCGATTCACAACAGACCTGAAGGTGTTCTCTTGCCTCCCTCAGGCTGCTGGATGACAGGTTCCATCCTCAGGTGTGAGGGACTCACCTGTAACTTCCTGTCACCTGTTCTTATCCTCCTCATCATTTCCATTCAGCTTAATGTACACACTCTCCTCCTGCTTTCCACAGCTTACCACCACCCCCTTCTCTCTCTCTCGGGTTTGTGGGAATGGCGCAGCAGCAGTGCTGGGGTTATCAGGTGGGAGCATCTGGTTTGAGAACCTGCTTAAATACGTCTCTGCCTCTTGTGCTTGCATCTGAGTGATGGTGGCGATAACTCCTTTTGTCCAGCCCTGGAGTGCACGTGTGTGGATAATGAATAATGCCTCTAACACCATGAGTGTGTTTGTGTGGTTTGGTCCAGCCCACTCGGTCCTGGTGTCGGTGGATGCTGGTGCAGGTCTGTGTTCTCAGGATGGAGGACACGCATGCCCGGCTGTCGGCAGCTGATTTACCAAGGATGATGCCCTGCATGCCTATTAGAACAATCACTTTACTTTAAGAGGATTAATCGGGAGGTGAAACAGAACAAATCATTCAGCTCCATTACCAGAAATTAGGTGAAGGTCTCCATGCCAAATTAGCATTACATAACGTACTATTTGTTTTCATCCCAGACTACAGTGCACTGTTATTCTGGGTAAACAGGACCTCAGACTGAAATAGCAACACTGTCGTGGTAGACCAGATCACAGGTTTGCTAAATCAGCGAGCTAAAGGTAATAATTGTCTGATTTTAGCAGAAAAACGGGTTTGTTCGTCGCTAGATCGTGCATTTGTCTTGTTCAAAGAAAAATATTCCATTCCCTGGATTTGTTGGGTCGATTGTTTTTTAATATCTGGGTCTGGAAAAGAACTGATTAAGAAAAGATATTGCATGATTAAACATCCGTCCTCTATACCTGCGTGTCCATACAGGGTCGTGGGGGGCTGGTGCCTATCTCCAGCAGTCTCTGGGCAAACAGGCGGGGTGCACCCTGGACAGGTCGCCTGCCAATCGCAGCGCAACACTGAGACACACCTAAGGATGATTTAGACAGACCAATCTACCTGACAGTCATGCTTGTGGTCTGCAGGAGGAAGCCGGAGAGAACCCACACATGCACAGGGAGAACATGCAAACTGCTTGCAGAAAGACCCCAGGCTGGGATTTGAACCCAGGACCTTCTTGCTGCAACGCAACAGCACTAACCACTGCACCGCTGTGCAGCCTATGGTTAAATGTATGACGTAAATGAAATACATTTTATTCTGTTCTGAGTTTTCTTAAAAATGCTTGCTGTATCCGGCTAAGTTTTTCTGTTTTCTAATAACGTAGGCGCGTGTACATAGCCTCAGATTGGGGGTGGGGGTGGGGTGGAATTGGGACACCTACGCACTCCTACACCTGGATGGAAACGCACACTAAAGGTGCACAAGGGTGGAAGTGTGAGTAATGGGACAGTGTGTCCACTTCCTGTCACAGTGGTCCAGGAAGGACCTGTCCTACATGGACTGGGTAGTGTGGGTTCTTTCAAGGGTTCCACCCCTGAATGTGCCCCCCCCCCCCCCACCCCACCCCCTTAGCTGGATGAATCCAGTCATGCACACACATTATTTTAGAGCTGTTTCTATGAACTCAGCATTTTCTGTGGGAGAGCGTCAGATTATCAGTTTGGACTTTTATTATAAAGGGACTGTTTTTAATCCTGTTTGGGATTATACCGACCCAAGTGAGGCTCTGTCTGTCTGTACCTGAGATTGGATTTGGGACCGACATCAACTGTAATAAAAGTAAAACATCAGAAACATGGATTAGGACTCCTCTTCAGTGTGACTTCACTTCCTCTGGCACGGAGCTTTCTGTTGTGTCTTATTTAATCTAATCACTTGTTTAGAGTTTGGTTTGTTTATTTGTTTGTTTGGTCTTTGAGATCTGCTGGCGAGAGGACTCAGACTAGATGAGGACCATTGTTCATCCTGCAAGCATTTCTCTTAGAAAGCTACGGTTAAAAGTTGGTTTGGTTTGTTTATTTCTTCAGACTTAACCCCCCGCCAAAATAAAAGTTAAATGTAAGACTTGCTTGTTTGGTTTGAGCAGAGGTGCTGGAGCCTCGTCTAACTCGGGTCTCGCAGTAACGGATGTTTCCTGGAAGAATAACACTCTCAAACTTTTGGGTGAAACCTAAACGTGTTGGCTTTCTTTCACCCAGCTGCTGAGTTCATCCTCTCTACATTCAAACCAGATTACTTCAAAGACATGTTTAATTTACTGTTTTGGACAGAGCGTCTCACTCTGGTGACCGTAAACAACAGTCTGGTCATTAGTGAACATCTCATGGTGAGTAAGAGACTCCTAGCTGGGACTAAACTAGAAGAAAGTTCCCTGTCTTTCCCAAACGTGGGACTTTCACTCTGAACTTAACCATCCATTGAAGCTGTTCTTTGAAAGTGACTCAAGTCCTAGCTGAACATCATTTGCTACCATGTCAAGGTTTAGGTCCTTATCTCCAAAACTAGACTTGGTATTGGAGCATTTTATGGCACGTTGGTTAAATTCTCTTTACCTACTGATGACAGCCAATAAATGAAGTGTTTTGTCAAGAAATGAATCCTTTTGATAAATGATCTTCACTTGTGCCTTTCTGAGTCAGAGGACTCCAAAGTGCTTTACACTACAGTGAAACATTCACCCTCTCACACGCTGGTGGTGCCCGAGCACACTGACAGATGGTTATCATCTCTGAAATGTGCAATCCTAGAAAAACCTCATCCGACCATTCCTAACGATTGGAACCTGATCCATCCATCAAACTGCCCTCTGACCTTCCCTCCCTCCGCAGCACATATCCCTCTTTGTGCATGTATCTCAGCCAGAGCTGGCCCAGCTATCGTAGCTAACTTCTGAACTGTTAGTTATGTAGGCAGAAGTAGTGGAGGGGCTTCATGTAAAAGACCATTCCACCCTGCTGGATTTCTGATAGGTCCCAGTGGCTTGTGTGTCTCACTTTCAGTGGGAACAGAGTCCAGAGAACTCCTGAGCAGCACCGGACTGTGAGGAGTCCGTCAGATGCCTGGAGGATCTGCGGCTGTTGCGTAGGTGTGTTACCATAGAAACAATGGCAGACAACGTGCCAACAACAGATTGAAAGAGTAAGATTACATTACGTTTGTCATTTTTACATTGTATGGACATACATATATGTATGTACACATACATACACATATGTATGTATATGTATGTGTATGTACATGTACAAACATATGTGTATGTACATACATATATGTATGTATATACACATACACATATGTATGTATATGTACATACACATATGGATGTACATGTGTATGTATGTATATATACACATGTATGTGTACATACATGTACATACATATATGTATGTACATGTACATACATATACACATATGTATGTACATACACATATGTGTACATACATATATGTATGTATATGTATGTACATGTACATACACATATGTATGTACATATACATATGTGTATGTATGTGTACATACATATATGTATGTATATGTACATACATATGTGTATGTACATATACATACATATATGTATGTGTATGTACATCTACATACATATGTGTATATACATACATATGTGTATGTCCATATACATGTACATCCATATGTGTATGTACATATACATACATATGTGTATGTGTATATACATACACATATGTATGTACATGTACATACACATATGTATGTATATGTACATACATATGTGTATGTACATGTACATACATATGTGTATGTGTTTATACATACACATATGGATGTATACACATACAGGATGGCTACAACCCAAAAAACGAGCTCAGTGTTGGTGCAGAGTCTGTTTTCCTTTCAAACCGTCTCACTCGGACCAATCAGAGCAACAAACAACTGAAACCTCGAACAACATAAAAACACAAACGCTCCTGTAGACTCGGTTCTTGGCTTGTCCATCCATGACCGCTGAAGAAACATCAGTGAAAACACCTGTCTGCTCAGGTTAGTGTTACAGGTGTTTGGAGGCTGAGGTAGCGCATTCCTCTGTGCACCTTCATCTCATGGGAGTCAGAAGCAGGGTCAGCATTTCCACTCAGTCTGGCTCTGTTCGCAGTAGATGTGAGGGCACTTGCAGACCTGCGTAATTGTTGTTGCAAAGCGTTGTCCTGCAGCAGATTGTTAGCACTAGATAGCCAGTTGTGCATTAGTTGGATATGATTTTCATGTGTTTATCACAACGTACTGTCCACCTGAACCCGGTGCTCACAGGTCAGGGGTTGCACATTCATGCAGGAACCTTTTCATGTGGAAACTTCTGGCCCCTACCGTAATTGCTCTCTGCGTCTGACTGTGACAATTACTGTCATGCAGGGGCTGTTCGTCAAGCTGCAGGTTTACTGGTTAATGAGTGGGTCAGTGTGTGCCTCTTGGGACCAAACCAAGTAGCAAAGTAAAAAAACAACAGGAATTTGGCCGCCCTCCTGATGTGGAGTTATGTACGATATTCCTGAAAGTCAAGTTACGTAATCAGTTTCCAGCCTTGTGAGATGAAAACGGGATTGAGCCTTAACTCTGGTAAACGGTGTGTATTGTTTGAGTTAATCTGCCGCCCGCCTGTGATAAATAGTTTCATATATATTCATGCTATGCTGCATTGAAGAATTTCTCCGTACCCTGGGGAAGATATTGAATTTTCCACTGTTTCACAGCGAGGTCTCCGGGGTAAGAAAGCTTGCCAGAGGCCTGGCACGTCTTGAACTACTTCCCTGATTGCTGCAATATAGGCCAATCTATGCTTAATTCAGATTCAGCAGCCTCCACGGCCGCGACGTGCAGGACTTTGTCTTAAAGGGAAAC